AATACCCCAAATTAAAATAGATTTGTAAAAAAATACTCAACAAAACACAAGTAAATCAAAAACAGAAGCATATGAAAAGAATAATATACCATGATGGAGTAGATTTTTATTCCAGGTATGTAAGACCAGTTCCACACTCAAAAATTAATCCATGTTATTCATTCAACAAATTAAACAAGAAAAATCAATCTTCTCAATAGATGCAAAACAATGTTTGGCAGAATTCAACATCCTTTCTGATAAAAGCTGTCAGCAAATTGGAATAGGAAGTTCTTGAGTATTGAAAAGAAATGTTACACAAATCCGTACCTAACTACTAAGTAATAGTGAAAGAAAAAGTTTTCCTGTTAAATTTAGGAGAAAGGCAAAAATACCCACATTCCTTCCCCTTTATTCAACATGATAATATAGCATAATCAGTCATGAAAAATAAATAGTATAATAGAAGACATGAATATTGGAAAGATAGAAATAAAGTTATCATTTTTCTCAATAATTATATTTTTGTCTATAGAAAACCCCAACTTAGCTATTAAAAAAAAACTATTTGAAACAGTCAGTGAGTTTGGGGATGTTGCATAATACAAGATTATACATACAGCAGTGGTATCATTATATAATAGCAAGTAGCAATTAGAAACTGAAAGTTATAGAAGTACTATTTAAGATAGTATCGGAAAAAGGAAATACTTGGTATAAATTAGGCAAACTATGTTTGAGTCTTGTATGCTAGAAACTATGAAGTCAATGGGGAAGAAAATTAAGAACTAAATACATGAAATGATACACCATGTTCATGAATTGAAAAGAAAAGCACTATTAGCCTACTTTTCTCTCTAAACTGATGTATAGATTTAATACAATTCCAATCAAATTCCCAGCATAATTTTTAACAAAAATCAATGAAGCTTATTTTTTTAGATTATATGGAAAAGCAAGTAAAGTAGAATGATCAAAACAATTTTTTTTTTTTAGAGGCATGTTTTTATTTATTTATTTATTATATTTGTTTGTTTTGTTTATACATGCACTGGGTACAGTCAGAAGCGCGGGAGGGTGAGAGAATTCACCAGAGCCAGAGCGGGGAGCAGAGCAGGCAGAAGGACCGAAGTACACTGCTGAGGGGAGCAGCGGGCGGCAGGAGAGGTCTGCGCGCCATGTGGGACCCTCCTCCGGTGGCCGGGGAGCAGCCGGGGATCGAACCGGCGCCGCAGAGGCCGCGGGCAGCTTCGCAACCCAGCGCTCAACCGCTGCGCCACCGGGGAGGCCCCAAAACAATTTTTTAAATAAAAAAGTTGCAGGGCTCACAGTACCTGATATCAAGAGTTACGATATAAAGCTGCAGTAATCAAAACAATGGATACTTGAGACAGAACACAGTTATTGATTAATAAGATGATATACAGAGTTTAGAAATTGACCTACACATTTATAGATTGAGATGTCTGACAAAGATATCAAAGCATGTAATATTTATATCAACAAATGGTGTAGGAATAATTGGACATCTTTGGGAGGAGGGTACCTCAAATCATATCTTGTATCACATTGAAAAATTACCTTAAAATGATAATATCCCTAAATGTAAAACTCATAACCCTAAAATTTCTATAATAACAATGGGTAAAATTTTTATCCTGGTTAGGAGAGATTTCTCACATATGATACCAAAAGCACAATTCATAAAAGAAAAGCTTGTTAAGTTGAATTTTATCTAATTAAGAATCTCTGTTCTTTGAGGGATACTGTTGAGAGAATGAAAAGACAAGCTACAAAATTGGGAAAAATATATGCAAATCATATACCTAAAAAGTACCTCATACCAGAATATAAACACAACTCTCAAATCTCAAAAATAAGAAAACAAATCAATAAAATGGGCAAAAGATTTGAAAACTTTACCAGAGAAGCTGTACAGGTAACAAATACATGAAAAGACACTCACTGTCTCAAGTTATTAGGGAAATTTCAAAGTAAGATTTTAAAACCTACAACAAATCTAAGATTTTACTCTACTTGCATGTTATCAAGTTGCTGCTATCATTTTATGAACATTGGCAAAGACACAAGACTTCTGGATCAGAGACAAAGGACCATTTATTAGTCAAGGTATCACAAGTAACACAAGCTGGGCTGCAACCAAATCTTCCCTCTGCTCTTGGGAGACACACTCCCTCTTATCTCCCAAAGCTCTTTGTCACACAAACATCCTTGAAAAGATCATTCAAAATAAAAGATTTTCTGTGGCTCATGGGACACACAAAATGTAAGAGACTAATGGAGAAATGTCTTCCAATGATGAGTTACCATCACACACCCACAAGAATGGTTTTTAAAAGTTTTCTCCTTTTTTTTCATAATGCTAAACTACAAAGAGGATATAAGTGGAAATCTCATATATCACTTTTAGGATGCGAAAGCAAACTTTTTAAAATAAAGTTAAACAGGGCCTCCCCGGTGGCGCAGCGGTTGAGCGCTGGGTTGCGAAGCTGCCCGCAGCCTCTGCAGCGCCAGTTCGATCCCCGGCTGCTCCCCGGCCACCGGAGGAGGGTCCCACATGGCGCGCAGACCTCTCCTGCCGCCCGCTGCTCCCCTCAGCAGTGTGCTTCGGTCCTTCTGCCTGCTCTGCTCCCCGCTCTGGCTCTGGTGAATTCTCTCACCCTCCCGCGCTTCTGACTGTACCCAGTGCATGTATAAACAAAACAAAGAAAGAAAGAAAGAAAGAAAGAAAGAAAACATGCCTCTCTATATAAAAAAAAAAAAATAAATAAATAAAAAAATAAAATAAAGTTAAACATATACTTTCTATATGACTCAGCAATCCTACTTATAGGTCTTTACCTAACTAACATGAAAATCTTATAGTCACATAAAACACCTGTTTTATAAATGTTTACAGGAGTTTTATTCACATTGCTAAAATTTGGAAACAATTCAAATGTTGCTAAACTGATAAAATGATCAAGCACAATATGGCACATTAATGAAATGGAATACTATTTAGCAATAAAAAGAGCAAACCACTGAAACACACAGCATAAATGAATCTCAAATGCATCATAATTGCATGATGAAAGAAGATGGACTTAGAAGGCTAAAAACTGCATTATTTCAATTATATGACATTCTGGAAAAGACAAAATAATAGAAACCAGAAATACTCGAGCAATTCCTAGGAACTGGAGGTAGGGAAAAATACTGGATACACAGGAAATTGGTAGACTATTTTGAGCTGATGAAACTGTTTTATACCTGGTGTGATGGTGGTTCTAACAGTGTTTGTCAAAACTTACAGATCTATACGCTTAGAAGGATGAATTTTATTGCATGTAAATTATACTTATAAGAAGGGGGTGTAGGAGAGTATTTGTGTTACTCTAGAGTCAGAATACCTGAGCTCTGTATCTTTCTAATTGTGAATCTTGGATGTATTCTCAAATTCTCTAAGCATCAATTTTCTCATGTGAAATAAGAATATAATAGCATCTACCTCTGAATTGTTAGTTTTCCTTGTTGCTGCTCCATCATTAATTATTGTCTGATGTCCTATTAGATACCTAACAGTCTGCTTGATGTTAAGGATAGAGCTATGAATCAATGACATAGTCCCTGCCTTCTAAGAGGTCACAATCTAGTGAATAAACATCTGAACTGACAAATGAACACAACTGTCTTATTGTTTTAAGAGTATGGCAACAATTACAAAAATTTTTAAATTCTAGTTTTAGGCATCTATTAAGATAAATCCATATTAACAATCTGAAATGCAACTCAACTTTAGCAAGACTTTTATAAAATAGGAAATTTCAAGTCAAATATAAGAAACCCTATTGGTAGCCCAAATATTCCTAGAATTATCCTATAAATAATGTTCAAAGACTTGAAACTGCTTCCATAGTTTACCAGATTCAGAAAGAATATCAGCTTATCTAATTTTCACTAATTTATTCCAACATGTCATTTTTACTTTAATTTGACCAAGAGATCAAGAAGACATTATTACAAATAGTAAGAATAATGTTTCCCCATTCAACAAGGCTTCTGTGCCTAGATAAAACATTTCCCTAAAAAATGATAAAGCTAAGAGGAGTCATTAAAAATTATTATTATCAAGTATTCCAGAAAAGTCTGCTCCCTCCAATAAGTAGAGAATTAATGACTTTTCAAGACCGTATTGCATAAATATGATCCAATAATCCGCATGCCTACGTATGCATTACAACCACACATCACATTTACACACAAAACACCTTTCTTGGCATATCATGCACCTCTGTCCCTGAAGGAGGTGGAATGTTCTAATTCGGTCTTAGAGCATTATAAGCATGAGAAATTCAAGCCAGAACATACTACAGCTACTTTTACAGAATTAATTACATTTTCACACCATATTCATTATGCATCTATTGAAGGCCATTACATGCTGCGTTCTGACAGGATAAAGCTCTAAATGCAGTTTGTTTTAAGTATGTCCTTTCCATTCAAGGCTAAAAGAAAATCAAGTTCTCATTTCAGAGATTTCCTATCTACTGTCATCTCACATCATGTCCCAGTGAAACACTGTGAGAAGTGTTCTTGGAGTGTTATCAACTAAAATTTTGCAACAAGTATGGCTTTTTGCACAGGATTTCACACTGAATAATATAGTAACATCTAGAGATTTTTAACCTAGTGAAAAAAAAGAGAACATTTTAAAAGATATTTTTAAACATGACATATGTACAAGGGTCTTCTCAAACAGTACCCACAGAATTATTTTCACCATTCCGCTTGCTCAAAACTGTTGTTTTGGAATATGGAGCCCATAAACATGAACCTTCAAAAGTTTTATATATTGAAAATATTCCTAAGGATTTCATTTCTCAATAAGAAGCCAGTATATAGAAAGGTGTAAGAGAGAGAAATATAAAATTCATATGATAACTAAAACAAGTCAAAATAAAATATATAGAAACATCCTTTGGGAAGAACCCGGAGAAAATGATCACTGGCTAGCTTACCTTGCTTTTTTCCATTAATATTTTCTAAAGTACCAGAGAGCTGGCTGTCAAAGCCGTGTTGAAGGCCACTCCTTTGCTTTTCAAGGTGATGTTCTTCCTCAGCAATAGAAGAAAGCACATGTGGTGGCATTTGGTCATCAAAGGTCTGATTGGGCCACTGGGATATTATAGAACATGAGTCCTTTGCATGTTGGCTAAGTCTGGGACTTGAACTTTGGGCAGAGTCCTGCAAATCACTATTACAACAGGAAAAATGATCCACTTCAAAAAACAAGGAATTTGCATCCTCTTGAGTCCAAGTATTGCCATGTTCTTCATCTTCAAAGTAAGTTTCCTGAATCTGAATATCATCTAAGTCCTGGTCTAGCTTGTCACTCAATTTAGAGTCTTGTTTGTTTAAGTTAACCAGCGAAGCAGATAAGGTATCTCCTGCTTGCTGGAGAGCTTCATAAAGCCGAGATATCCAGGAAGAGAAAGGTTGGAAGAAGTTCTGAGCATCCTTAGATGCCATGGCCAACACCATAGCCAGCTATCTGATGTCTACAAGTCCATTTGTTCAGTTCCTTCTGTACTCTGGACTTAATGTGAACTACAGAATAAGCATGATGAGAAATTAAATTGGAGGTCTCTTAATGGCTGTGAATATTTCACTCTCAAAACTTCTCAGCTGAAACAGAGGAAAGAAATGCTTATACCTGTTAAAGTTATAACCTTGAACCCATCACCCAGCCCCTTTTGGAGGGCAAAAAGAGATCATCATTGAAATCTTAAGGCAGCTAAATAAAAATGTCAACAAGTAGATAATTTTGATGACTTTCACCTTCACAGGCATGTGCAAAATTTCCATTAACAGTAATGGGCTCTACTCATGTGGACTGAGAGAAGTGTATCCTCCATAGACCATACTTAACAGTGTGAAAAGGATAAATGAATCTTCATTAAGAGGCAGTTGGACATGGCATTTCAAAATATAAGAAAAGTTGGATGCTTCACCTACAAACCTGCAGATCCCAGAGAGCAGGATAATAAGCATGCCTGCTTTGTGACACAAAAAAAATTATCCTTTCAAAGGAAATGTGAGCCTAGAATAAAAAGCTTTTAACAAATCTTAAAATAGGATTTTATATTTTTTTTCATTTCTAGAAATTATATCTATTCTTGCAAAGCAAAGAACCACTGAAAAACTGAGGGTGGCAAGTTAATTATGCAGTTAACTGGAGACAAGTCCCTAGCATCTCATTGTCTTTGTAAGTGCACCAACCTCCCAAAGACAGCCTTTATCAGTCTGCAAGATTCCTGAGAGATATATCTTTCTGCAAGATCTACAGCCCATGGGGGCAGCTACAGGCCATCAACACAGCCACAGGACATGATGAAGACTCTGGAGCTAAATATCTACACATTTACATGGATGTCTACACATAAACATATATATTTATACATGCATATGTATGTGTCTTATGTGTGCATATATACCTTATTACATTTACAGCTCAAGATGAGTGTTTGCACTTAATTATTCCATCTCTTTTATAGCCATAGCTTCCTTCTAAGCCTACTAGCGATCGTTAAGTTTCAGCCCTCTTGACCTCAGGCTACTACATTTGTTAAGATTGCCTATCATCTCCTAAAACTTTAACTTTTGTTGATAACTACCCATGTATGCATTGACTCATTCAATAAGTAAATACAGATTAAGTGCCTACTAAGTGTAGGCATAATGTCAGGTATAAGCTAACTCTGAGGTTTCTGTCTCCATGGAGCACACATTTTAGTCAAAGGGAAATGAGGTCTCAGTATTTCCCTCATGCTCAATAATTTGTTTTCCTTTCAGGCTCTTCCTGTCTTCCCACTAACTACATATATGTAACTGCTCATAGCCCTATGGCTCTTCTCCTCCTTTATATTCATGAGCTGGGAGAGTTGATCTATCCAGAAGTTTCATTCAACTTTTTTTTTTTAATACCACAATATATATTCCAGCCTTTATCTCAATCCTTCTTTCCAAGTATGTATCTTTGATTATCTAAGTCAAGGGTCTCAAACTTTGCTGTGTCAGAATCACCTGGTGATCTAATAAAGAACACAGAAGCCCAGGCTGGGTGAAGAAATAGGTCCTGGACCTCCGTATGTTTGTCAAGTTCCCCAAATGATTCTGACACCCTACAATGTTTGAGAAATACTGACCTATGAAAATAGCTACACTTGGATGTCTCACCAAAATCTCAAAATCAGGAGATCAAAACCTAGCGAATCATTTTTGCTATAACGAGTGTTCAGCACTCAACTCTCAACCTTCTAGAGATTACAAATTTCTCTCTTCACCACTTGCTCCTCTCATTCCAAGTTCTGTTAGTTTAAGAACTATGAAAATTCTCTTCCTTTACGTTTTGTATAATGGTCTCATTTCCCCATACTCTACTTTCCTCAGATATTACATACTCATTGGTTTCAAACACTATTAAAGTCCCAAACTTTAATCAACCCTCTAGGTTTTCTCATCACCACCTGACTTTACATCATGTGTAATACCTGTCTCCTCACCTACAATGGAAGGTCCATGGAGGACAAGGATTTGTCCTTATTCCTCCAACTTATCCCCAGTGATTACAGGTACACTAAATACATAGTAAATTCTCAATTAATGAATTAACTAATCCTATTAAAATTGTACACAGAACAATGTCTAACATGTAGTATGTACTCAAATTTATTAAAATGATGACTAAAACCTACTCAGAATTGTTGAAAAGATCATAATGTTACTACACAAACCCCATGTTTGGTGACATAAAGGAGTTCTTTCCGCAATTGTTCCGCCCTCCTCTCACCATTCATGGTGTTTTGTTTGTTTCTCCATAAATATTTTTGCTTAAGTTAATATTATTCAGGGTCTCACAGAACTAGAAAGTTCCCTGAAATATCACCACTGTCATTTTGGCATTTGAAGCTTTTTAAGAAGTGATGTATCTTTTTTAATGATTCAATAATCCTTTATATTATTTCATTATACAGAAAAAAACTTTGCAACACAAAATCTTTTAAGTCAGCATTTTCTTGTCCAGTCTTTGAATAATATTTATCACAAATTCTTTGTCTCATATCTCTTTGTCTTCTATAATCTCTGTTCATCAAACCTCATGGAGATTTTTCTAAAAACAAATCTGCATCACTCCCCTATGTAACAAACAAAATCCACTATGTCTCCCTCCTACTTATACTACAAATTTGAACATCTGTCAAAACTATTATTTATGCTTGTTGACATGGAGGTTTAAAAAAATAATTTTAACGTTTCCAACACACTATAGTCCTCACCTCTCCCTATTGTTTCATTCATATCTCTGTGGTCTGTTTGACACCTACAAGTAATTTAATTTTAATTTTAATTTACTCCTATAGAGTAAAAATCACATTCTTGCCTACAGGCAAATAAAAATGAAGATGCTAAAACAAAAATAAAAAAGACCCTAATAATCAGCACCCTTTAGTAGGCCTTAGCACTTGAAGTAGACTAAGGCCCTCCTGTGAGGGAGCAACTCTTCAATTGCTAAATTACTGGGTGTGAGGACAATTGGGCCTGGGAGTGGACTTCAGATCAGTGGTTATTTACCAACCAGTTTGCAATTGTTTCGATTTATTCCCCAATCAGGAGCTCTTCCTTTTGTCCTCGCTGACTATGTAACTGTTCATGAGCTGTTCCCTTAATACTACCCTGCCTTGAGGATTCGGCCATACACACCACTTCTCCCTGCAAAATTCTATGTGCCTGTTGCATTAACACACTAAGCATTTTCTAAAATGACTGAGGTCTTGCCTGACGTGTTTGCTCAGCCCAGAAAGCCTTCTCTCCCTAGCCTGCCTGAGAAACCTTTCCTTGCTCATTATGATGAAATCCCTATCACTTCCTATGTCAACTTTTCATATGCTATTAAAGGTATGACCTCAGAACTGCTTTGAATATGCCTTTATGATATAAGGTTTCACTTCATGTGGTAAATAATTATCAATGTTCCTCTTCCAAGCAACTGTGAGACTGTAAGAGCCACGAGTGGGTTTATACTTTATAGCTCCAGGACCCACACCAGATAGGGACTCTGTAAATGTTTGGTGAATGAATGAATAAAGTTTTTACTGAACATTGTAATGTTAATTGAAATTGTAATGCTAAGAAGTTATGTTTCCTGCATTTTTCTTTTTCGGCAAAGTGGAGTTAACTCACTAGAAGATCTCTAGTAGTTCTTTTAGGCTTTAAAACCCAGGAATATACCGATGTGGGAGAAATATCACTGTAACATTGAGGCTAGATATATTGAGCAGTAACTTGCCTTTTCAGGGATTGGACCTAAACTTTTCTCAATAACCACTGTCAGATGAACTCAGAGTGAATGAAAAGACATCAAATCTCAGCCTATATATGAAAGAATGTCCAGTCATTCAATTTTAAAATATTCAAAAAGGATGAGAAACTACAGAAAGAATCTGAAAAACTATGTAGGCAGCAATGTTGGAGGCCTTTCATTTTATACTAAAACATTCTAAAGCCAAGAGGGGTAAGTGCTGGCAGAGTAACCATGGAGATATATTTGTTGCCCAGGTAAAGCTCAATTTTTTCTCAGAGCAAGAGTAATACCAGACATATACCTGCTATCCTAGGTTTAGGGGTGTGGGGCTGTCTTACAGCTGAGAAGACAAAGTGGCTTCTGCTGTTATACTAAAAAATATATATATATATACCTAAGGAAAGAAAAATAGAAAATATAGTTCAGTTCTCTGAATTATAAGAAAAAGTACATACAAGGTCTGTGGCAACTGAGAAGTCATTATTTGAAGTAAAACAGTTTATAATACTTCATTATTAAGAGAAGTATAAAGCAAAACAACAAAAAAGGTGTGAGTGTTTGACATACAAGTTCCCATCACACACATGAGTAGGGGTGGTTTATAACCTCTCCAAGTCCTTAAATTAACAATCTAATAAAGAATTAATAACAATTGATAAATGCAAAATGGAAGTCATTGATATAGTCTTAAGATCTGAATTTCTTTAAATTTTGTTCTAAATAGAATAATATTTTAATTATAACTGTTTAAAGTCACTTAAAATAAAGGAAGTGACTAAACAGTAAACATTAAAGAGTTGTACTTCTGCAGCAGTAAAAACTATCAAATTCCTGAGCCATATGCTTTATCACATATTTTGATCATCCTCACCAAGAGTAATTGTGAACAGAAGTGTTCCCTACCCAGAATAACACACATGGTCCTTTAAAGGCTGTTAGTTAAATCTTTCTGACCCCATTTTTTATCTGATGACAGATGCTTGGAAGGAGCGGGACAGTTATGTCTTAAGAAGAAATACCAGCTTACATGAGTTGTACCTTAAAAAATCTATGAAATTTTGATAAAAGCTGAAGTTAAAGTCTATATGCACACACAATTTTTAAAGGATAATCAGTTCCTGGAGAGAGTCAAAATACATTCTGAGAGAAAAGGAAATGTTTCTAATAATATGGTCCCTGGATAACCAAACCCCAAATCAAAATTTTACACAAGTTCATCTACTGAAGTATGTCACTATTTAGCATTTTTTTCATGGATAAGTTACCTTTGAGAATATACTCTTTTTATTCTCAACCAAGACCTGTAGGGCAATCCTAAATTAAA